TACAACATACACAGTACTCCAGGGCTTGACTACAAACCTATTATAAACATAGTGGCTTTGTTAATCATTGACAAACAAACGAAGTTCATCACAGAGGAAGTACCACTTCCCTAGTATAGGATCCAGTTTGTACTTGAATTACTTGATTGCACTTGTTTTGATTAGATGGAATTAAAAATCTTCATGGCTGGATTTTATCTTGGTCAAACCATATGCTTTTCCAGCTCTGTGTTTCCAACATCTGTGCATGCAGATTCCCCCCAAAACCAAGAGGATCAGCGAGAGGGGCGCCAGTGCAATCTCCCAAGAGAAGGCGGAGGCTGTGGAGAGAACAAAGCCGGTCAGAGGGCGGTCCTTCACCAGCCAATCAGAAGGTGGGTTGACTGAGCGAAGGGAAGGAGAGTGGGTTCGTTTTCCCTGTTCTAGGCGTCTTGCTTTCAGAAAGTCTGTCCCTGGCACTGGGATCGGGGAGATGTAAGGAAGATGTCCGTTAGAGAACTAAGCAGGGAGGAGAGACTCGACCAGAGAGAAAGAACCAGAGGGGAAGGCAGGCCTCCAGAGGCTAGCCCTCTTGCCCCAGTTGGAAAGCCGCACTCGGGTGTGAGATTTGGGTCTGGATGAGCCTTCTATGACAGATCCATGCCAAGGCTTCCCCTTCCTGGTGAGCCCAGGTGTCAGGAGGATTAAGCAAAGTAACAAAGGAAAATAAAACACACTTGGAATAGAAGAACTTTAGGTGCTTGGCATGTGATTGTTTAGATCCAGCTGTCTTGTGTTCTGTTTCTTGATTTCTCCATGTTATGAAAATGTAGAAGGAAACCGAAGGGGGAGGAAACAAAACAACCCGGACCTTATTGGGGATAAGGCCAGAACGAGACACTTTAAACGATTATTTGTATCATCTGCTTAGACATCTGGGGACCAACACAATCTCAGCCTGACGCTTCATTCAGATGAGTCTTATCCTTAGATCCCCCCCAGGGAAGCATGCTTGTAGAAAACGGGAAGCTGTCATTTCTAAGCAGCCGTTGGACGCACACGGCAGTCCTGGTGAGGCCTTCTCAGCATATGCTCTCTGGAATCGCCAGGCCAGCAAACAATAGGCAGGGCCGTGAACACCAGGACATGATGAAGCTTTTGCAAGCCTCCAGTGTGGGCACCACAGGAGCTCTGGTGACACAAGGGTCTCCTCAGACTGCTAACCAAAAGGGAAGCCATTCGAAACTACCAGGTGCTCTACGGGAGAAAGACGCGGCTTTCTGTTTCCATAAAGAGTTACAGTCTCAGAAAACACAGGGGCAGTTGTACCCCGTGCTGTTGGGTCACTGTGAGTCGTACTCGATTCACTGGCAGTGAGTGGAAGGGTGGGTGAGTGAGGGTCCCTACTAGACAAACCACAGTGCTCCTTAGGGACTGGTCTCAATCCCAGTGGTCGG